TTATTTTAATTAATATATTATATTATTTTATTTTTTTTACTATCTTGTTTGTATTAATACATTGTATTACTAAATATTTATTTTAAGTAAATTATAAAATATTATAAATGACTATTTTTTCAAGATGCCCTTTTTAGTCATTTTTAAATGTTTATTATTTTGGTAAAAATTCACAACCTCGACGGACGATGATATTTCCCTCGAGCAAAATAGTTGTAGTCACTATACATGCAAACAAGGACTATGATACCTACGATCGTGTTTATTTGACTACAAGACCAACGACCCTTGGTGGAAGGTTTCTTACGACTACAAGATCTACGACCCTTGGTCGAAGATTATTTATATAAGATTGAAATTTTCTTCGACATATCATACTAAGAACACAACTGCATATTAATTATGACATCTGGTTATACAAAGTATTTGTTGCATGAACAACAGTCGAAACAAAGCATTAACTGCGAATATCATAACGGAAATATAAGATTTAAGACAATTCATGATGGCGGTTTTACTCATTTAACGACAATCAAAGTCGATCGTTGGACTAGTTTCACGAGTCACCTATATAAAAGGTCAAAAGAACTCAAGAAACAACTCTTAGATCATCAGAATGTATACACATACGAAGTTTCACTAGCCAAAGCAACCCTTGTTCTTCACTATTTTCCACGACCGATTGTTATCTTGACTACATCATTGTAATCATTCTTAAGGATGACATCCTTGATTGACATCCATAGTGCACCGACGATCTCCTGTATCGTTCGTTAATTTTTCCCCTCGTTTAAGGGTTTTTCAAATTTGCTCTATGTTTAATTGTTAAAGCTTTACAAACAAACCTTAGATTCATTATATTTGGTGTAATTTTTCGCATATATATTTATGAGTTAGTTTTTGTCAAACATAATTTATTCATGAGTTAACTTAATTATTATTACCGGTCATGCTAGCTCTTTTATAACCATAAAAGATTTTTTTGCTATTATTTTAGGGGCAAAATTTAGACATATATAAATGGGATTTCTAAAAAAGTCAAATATCCAGATGTTAACATTGCCAAAGTCGCCTCAAAGACGGCCTTCGTACAAGGCAGGACGATTTAACCAACATATATCGATCAGATCACTTTTTAGAGGTTGAGTTTCCTATAAATACAAACAACTCTTACGCTTATTTGCATAATCAATCATCTTCACCATCAACTGAATGGCAATAGCAATGGCATCGTCTCCACTGTGCCTGCTCTTCTTACTCATCACCCTCGCATATTCTCTAGCAGCTGACTCCAATGATCTGAAGGCATTTCACTTATTCAGAACCATGCATGCATTCTTTACCAATCCATGGCTAATTAATGTTATGTATTTCCTTTTTTCAGACGTACGTTGTGTACATGGGTGATCTTCCCAAGTCTGATTTCTCTGTGGAATCACTCCATAACACCATGCTACAACAAGTCGTTGGCAGGTTTGATAATCTTATCTATAACCACTTATTTCTCCTTTTTTAATTTGTTTGCAAAAAATTCATTATTTTGTGTATGTTTCAATTTCGAGCAGCCGAGCATCGAAATCGTTACTCCGGAGCTACAAGCGGACCTTTAACGGCTTCGTCGCCAAGCTAACACAAGACGAAAAAAACCAAATTGCTGGTCTGTCATTTTTCAAGTTTGTTATTTCATGTTTTTTAGTTTAATGACGTCATCAAATATATATTACAAAAATAATAACTATGTAGGTATGGAGGGAGTGGTGTCTGTGTTCCCAAGCCAAACCAAGAAACTGCATACAACAAGGTCATGGGATTTCATGGGCTTCCCTCAGGATGTCAAAAGAGCTACCCTTGAAAGCGACGTCATCGTCGGCATGCTAGACACCGGAGTCTGGCCGGGATCCGACAGTTTCAAGGACGATGGATTTGGTCCTCCACCAGCCAAATGGAAAGGCTCATGCGATTCCACCAATTTCACCTGCAACAAGTAATTTAATACACTAATCACTTGCTAACATTATGAGATATTAACAAAATACTAACATTATGAGATATGTCAGCAAGCTCATCGGAGCAAAATACTACTTGACGGATGGGAAAGAAGAAGGAGAGGACGAGCCATCAGCAAGGGACACCGAGGGTCACGGGACTCATACTGCTTCCACCGTTGCCGGACGTGCAGTTAACAACGCGAGCATGTTAGGTCTAGCTAACGGGACGGCTCGAGGCGGCGTTCCATCGGCGCGAATAGCCGTGTACAAGATCTGTTGGGAAGGCGGTTGTTCAGATGCCGATATTTTGGCGGCTTTCGACGATGCAATTGCTGATGGAGTCGATATCATTTCTCTTTCAGTTGGAGGTTCTTTCCCTCTAAACTATTTCGAGGATACTATCGCCATTGGAGCTTTTCATTCCATGAAGAACGGGATTCTGACTTCAAATTCCGCCGGAAACGACGGACCTAGTCCTGGATCGATCACTAATTTTTCACCATGGTCGTTATCGGTTGCCGCGAGCAGCATTGATCGGAAGTTTTTAACTCAGATTGTGTTGGGTAACAATATGACATACGAGGTATGAAATTATTCTTTCAACTTTGAGACATCGATCTCAACGGATGGTGATTCTGATTGAATTTTGTATAGGGGCCGACAATAAACACATTCGAGGGTGCAGTTCACCCGATCGTTTACGGCGGATCAGTGCCTAATACCAAAAAAGGATTTACACCAGATGAATCTAGGTAATGTACCAATCAACCACTTTCAATGACACCGGAAATTCAGTACTTAAACCAACAATTGAATGCAGATACTGCGAAGAAGATTCGTTGGATCCGACTTCGGTTCAAAATAAAATTGTGGTTTGTGAAGATTTTGAAGGACCGACGTATGCTTTGGAATCTGGTGCAAGTGGAGTGGTGGTGGAAGGTGATTTTGGGTACCAAGATTTGGCCTTTGCTTACTCTCTTCCAACAACATATTTAAGCTCCAAAGATGGCAGTGCCGTTCTTGGATACATAAACTCCACCACGTAAGTCTATCCTGCTTGCTTTGTACCATATATTCATCAATGAATAAAGTAGAAGCGTGGAATTCACATGTTAATTCTGAACCATTTCTTTTCTTATAGAACACCAAGTGCAACCATTCTAAAGAGTTATGAACCTGTAGACAAAGCAGCTCCAACTGTGGTTTCCTTCTCATCAAGGGGTCCCAACCCAATCACACTAGACCTTCTCAAGGTGAATCTTTGTTACTTCTATATAGGTTTTTAAACAAATTGGTTTGTTCTGTTAATTACTCTTAATTTAACCTTGTTGTAGCCCGATTTAACTGCACCTGGAGTTGACATTCTGGCCGCTTGGTCGATGGGTACAACTGCCACCGGAGAGCAAGGGGATACCCGTGTTGTCCCATACAATATTATCTCCGGCACTTCCATGTCTTGCCCTCACGCTGCTGGTGCTGCCGCTTACGTTAAATCGTTCCACCCCACGTGGTCTCCTGCTGCGATCAAGTCTGCCCTCATGACTACAGGTATATATGGTTAATTAATGTAACAACTAACTTTTATCAGAACACAGAATTATGCAGTTCAGTTGAAATAATTATGAACCATTTTCTCTTTGGCAGCTGCACCAATGAGTCCAACCAAAAACCTCGACGCCGAATTTGCTTACGGTTCTGGCCATATTGACCCATTGAAGGCCGTGGACCCAGGTTTGGTATATGACGCCGGAGAATCAGATTTCGTGTCGTTTTTATGTGGGCAAGGTTACAACACCACAACTTTGAAAATTGTGACCGGTGATGCAAGTACTTGCTCAGCCGCTAATAACGCGACCGTTTGGGACTTAAACTATCCTTCTTTCGCACTCTCGGCTCCACAACCAGGCAACATCGTGCGAACCTTTAACAGGACGGTGACTAACGTGGGTGCACCCGATTCTACGTACCAGGCCAATGTGGTTGCACCATCAGGGCTTGTGGTGAAGGTTAGCCCGAGCAGTCTTGCGTTCAAAACAGTAGGGGAGAAGCAATCTTTTGTAGTGACGGTTGATGCTACAGTCGGGTCTTCTAAGGCGCTTTCGGCGTCATTGGTTTGGAGTGATGGAGTTCACAAGGTTACGAGTCCGATTGTTGCATTTGTTTCCTAAATGTATTTTATTTCATTGGTTTTTTTGGGTCAAATAATCACCCCCAGTTGACATTGAATCACTGGGGCATCATTTTATTCCCTTTGGGAAGTCAAGAATCTTGATACCGTTTTCAAATTTGAAGCCTAAAATTGTGTGATTTGTCGTATTGTTGTCGATATTCGTATCTTCAACTGTAACATATTGTTGTGGACTTCTACTAATCGCAAACCAACTTTTCTTTATTTTATTTTTTTGTCGTTTTTCTTTGAGATTAAAGGGGGTGTTTGGATGTGCGAAGGGTTCTTTATTAAACATTTAATTTGAAAAGCGTTTATCGGTTCAATTATCTTATAGCGTGAACATAACAAGAATCTCATTCGGTAAGAGAGAAGACAAGGATCAAGAATCTGACCCAATAAGTTAGGGTAATGACTCTTACTCAGTAAGTGCATACCAGACTATAAACGTTCATCATTAATCTATTTTGATGGTCGAAAATGTTACCACATAACGTAAGTGTGAGTGGTGACTTTTGCCGGTAAGAACTTACACAGTAAACGTTTGATAAACAATCATTAAACGTTTGGTAGATAGTCACTAAGTGTATTGTAATAATAAGAGACTATATTTTGAGTCAATGTTTTTTTTTTCTTATTTTTATACTCGCAATTTAGAAAAGCAGTTTAACTCGTGCTGTTTGGAAAAAAAAAAACTCGAAATTGATACTTTCCTTTAATACCGTCAAGTAAAGTAGCATTTTCAGTATTTTTTACTCAGTTTCCTCCCGTTTCTTTTGAATGTTATAATATGGCTTTATGTGATTTTGAGAAACCAAAAATGTTTTTATTTTTGAATAAAATATATGTTTGAAGATATTATAAAAATTTGACAAAAATATATCGATATTAATATCAAATTAACTATTTTAAATTTCTCATTTTTTTTGTGTAATTTTTTAATTTAATTTTTTTGTAATTTATTTTATGTACAATAACGAAGTAATTTATATTTGGTTTAATAATATATTTTTTGTAAAGATAATAATTAATAATTATTTATTTTGTTGGAACTCGATAATTATTCAAATTATATTTTAGATTTTTTATATTTTAAAATGAGATGTTCATCATCTATTTAATTATGTTTATCCGCAGTTATTTATACGAATTCAAACATCGAGTTTTAATATGTTGTACTTATGCATAATTACTTGTAATCTTGAATTTTAAGTAATATGCATCAATATACAGTACTTTATGCATAACAAAAATATATTGATATTCGTATCAAATTAACTATTTAAAATTCCTCATTTTTTATGTAATTTTTTATTATAATTTAATTTAGGTACAATAACGAAGTAATTTATATTTGGTTTAATAATATAATTTTCTTATAAGAATAATAATTAAGTATTCTGTTAAAACTCATTGATTATCCTAATTATATTTTAGATTTTTTATATTTTAAAATAAGATGTTTATCCTCTATTTGATTATATTTATCCGCAATTAGTTATACGAATTCAAAAATCGAGCTTTGATAAGTTGTACTTTTGCATAATTTACATGTAATCTTGAATTTTAAGTAAACATTGGTTTTATGTGGTTTTGAGAAAGTGGTAATATTTTTATTTTTGAATAAAATATAAATTTAAAAAAATGTCATAAAAATTTGAAAAAAAATATCAATATCAGTATTAACTTATTCTTTTAAAAAGTTCTTGTGTTTTGGTATAGTTTCCTTAATTAAATTATGTTAGTTATCAATGATTATCATAATTATATTTTAGATTTTTTGTATTTAAAATGAGATATTTATCCAATATTTGATTATGTTCATCTGCAGTTATTTAGACGAATTCAAGTATGAAGCTTTAATAAATTGTATTTATGCATAATTTACTTGTAATTTTAAATTTTAAGTAATATGCATCAATAAACAATATTTCGTGCATAAAAAATTGTTTTTAAGAGTTTTTGTCAAATGTTTTAATATGCATCAATAAACAATATTTCGTGCATAAAAAATTGTTTTTAAGAGTTTTTGTCAAATGTTTTATAATATGGTATGGATAGTATAGATCATGTGTTTTTAAAAATAGCAATAATGATTTTATTTTTTAATAAAATATAAATTTAAAGATATCATAAAAATTTAAAAATATATATATCAATGTTAATATTAAATCAACTATTTAAAAGTTTTTATTTTTATGTAATTTCTTTAATTTATTTTTTTATTACAATTTAATTTAAGTTTAATAATGAAATAATTTATTTTTGGTTTAATAATATAACATTTTTATAAATATAATAATTAAGTATTCTGTTAAAACTCATTGATTATCCTAATTATATTTTAGATTTTTTATATTTAAAATGAGATGTTTATCATGTATTTGATTGTATTTATCTGCAGTTAGTTACACGAATCCAGATATGGGATGAAATTGAATAGGAATGAAATCGTTTAGGGATGAACGAGTTTAAGAGTTTTTAAGAATTTTAGCCAAATGCTTTATAAGRTAGTATATATATATATATATAGAGAGAGAGAGAGAGAGAGAAGAAAGAGAGGAAAGAACGGTTAAATACAAACTATCCAATCAATCCAATCTTTCTATGTCAATCAATAAAACAATTTTGAATAAACGAAAGGGACCAAAAATGTAATTTAATTCTTTGGGAAAAATACCCAAAGACCAAAGTGGAGAGGAGCCCAATAGTTGTGACGTGCGTGGGCTCTTTGTCTAATTCATAAAAGGGCTCATCAGCAAAGATGGTAAAATTGGTTTTGATTCGGGTCGTGTTGAATCTAAATCGGTCTCCATTTCAATTTGCCTTTTCGTAATCGGTTGCGGTATAACTTGTCCGGTTCTAACCAAAATACCAAGGTGTGGTCTCCATGCTTTGTAACCGGTCACTAGAACTAGTTCCGGTCTCAAAAATATCTCTCCCAAAATCGTCAAATCAGTCATCTGCCAGACCAAGCCCATTAGACCTATCTCTACTCACCAATCAACACGTATATCTTTCAAAACAAAGATTTTAGGACTTTCGATTAGTTTTTTGTTTTAATAAATAAATAAAGGAGATGATGAAATTCTCTAAATTTAGAGTATAAAATTTTTACAAAAATGATTATTTTAGAATATAAATGATTTTTATTCTTGAGAATCTTTGAAATTGAATGTTTAACAGAGAGGAATAATATTTTATTAATTGTAATAAATAATTTAATGATGCAATTAATATTGTAATCTTTAAAAATGAATTCTTTTGTTAAAGTTGAATATATTTTTTAGATATTTTAAATTTTAATTTATTTATTTTGAAGAAATTTTAGAGATTTTCTCAATAACAATTTTTTTCATATCTATTTATATATTGTTGCATAAAACGTTTTTTATATGAACAAATACATAAATACATTTTATAAGTTTTAAAGATTTGGAAAAAGCTTGTTTCAACAACTGCGTCAAACTCTCTTTTAAATAGAGAAAAATATAAGAATGAATGGAAAAATATTCAGATTTATAATAAAAAAGAGAAAATGTTAGATACTTGTTAGATATGTTCTTATGATTTAGATATTAAAATTACTAGTTAAATTTCAAATAGGTTTAGTACATTGTACGTGCTTGAACATCACTATAGATTCGCTTTTAACTATTGATACTCAATGTGTCGTCATGTTCATGAGAACGACTTCAAAAAAATTACGTTAGACTTCTTGCATAGAAATGAGACGTTGAAAATTGGAACAACGAAAAAACAATAGTCACATGCAAATGGAACAATATAGATGCTAAAAATCGAAATAATTAGAACAAGGACCATCTGTTATCACCTCAAAGGATTCTTTTCATGAACCGGAGGCATCTTCAAATGTGTGCAGAATAACATAATTGTCTTGACCGTCCACAAGATGATTCCAGACTCTTCTGAAATTGTACTATTTGTCCATTACCGACTTATTTTTACTTCATTTCATTTTTCTTTAGTTAATATAAAGTTGAATGTACTGATACTCTTTTAAAATTTACAAGTGTCAAACAAGACTTTGGTAAGATGGTCATTTACAATTCCTTTTAAAAGGGCTTTACAAGCCTATGTAAATGGTCTATCAAATGCCCAACAAGAAAATTGGTTTTATAAGACGACTAAAATATCAAAACGTCACAATAAAATATTTTATAGAATTTAAGTTTATAAGACCAAATCAAAAAGTCTCGTATATAAAGGTGTTACAATTAGTTTATTCAGCATTTTTGACATTTAACAAAAAATTTAGATGTTTTTATTTTAAGGTATTGTTTTACATGATTTTTTTAATATGGACTTTGTCATTTCTTTTATCTTAAGATATTGTTTCACATGATTTTATTTTTTCATCCAAGACTTGCATTAATGTATGACGAACATATATTTGTTTTATGCTTCATATGTATTTGGTTCACTATATGAAATTTTTTACATTTCACTTTTGTTTCACTTTGACTAGAAAAATTCATGTTGTAAAACAAATTTATGTTAATGACAGTTTCAATTCTAGACTTAAATGGAAAAAAAAATCACATAAAGGAACAAATGATGCAGTAGTTTTCAAGGTTATCACAATTTCATTACTTAAGAAAAGTTCTCAAAATATGTACATATTTAAGAGCATCTCCTACGACTATATAAAAATAGAGATTTATGATATATTTTTGTTTTATCAGCTATATAATAACATATGCTAAAAATAGAAAAAAGACGAAAAAAGGTAGAAATCTCTAAAATCTCCATATTTAAAAGAGAGAAATAATATCTTATTTTTTTCTCACCAATAAAAATAACTGAAACTAAGTGTCTAGGAGAGAAAAGATAATATGTTATTAAATGTATTAAATATTTTAATAATATAGTTAATAATAAAATTGTTAAAATAGAATATATTTGTTAAAGTTGAAAGTAATTTTTTTAAAGAATTTAATTTTTAATAATTTATTTTAGAAAATTATAATAAAAGATATT